ATTTTGATCCATGTCAAGAGTCTAAGAAAGATACTTTACCAAGACATGGGTTTTCAGGGTACTTTTAAAAAAAATTTCTGTTTCTGTGAGTATAATTTGGGGAGGAGCACCAGATAGTCTTTAAAAATCACTAAATCATGCTGCCTCTTCCTATTACAAGGTGTCCCATGTAATGATTAACACATCTCTTTTCTGCCTTAAGGTTTATAACAAATATAAAACCGAGTTTCACAGATTAATTCCAGCCTCACCTTTTGATGTACTATAGCATAGTGCAGAAGCACTTTGTCTGACATTTTAAATTTCAAAATATAATAAAATCATGCACATCATAAAGCCACAGCGGCTTCTCATTGAATATAGTATCTCTTTGGTGTTTGTGTCCATATGTTCTGCCTTAACTGTGTGCCAGTATTTTATCAGATCTGTCAACTCCTTTAGGGCAGAGACTACATTTATTTGTTTTTTAAATTTTTATTTAAAATAACTTTAGAATTAGAAAAAAGTTACAAAAATACTACTCTGATTTTTCAGGTACCCTTTACACAGTTTCCTTAAATGTTACTGGTTTATATAACCATGGTGCAATTATGGAAACCAGAAATTGACATTGATACAATAGTACTATTAACTAATCTAAAGAATTTATTCCAGTTTTGCCAATTGTCTTACTAGTCTTTGGGGGACGGGTCCAAGATCCAATCTAGGATCCTACACTGCTTTTAATTGTCATGTTTTGTTAGTCTCAGCTAGTCTGGAGGAATCTTTCTCTAATTTTCATAACTTAATATTTTTCAAGAGTCCTGACCGATAATTTTATAGAATTTCCCCCAGTTGGGGTTTGTTTGATATTTTCTTAGGATATGATAAGAGTTGGCTTATGCATTTTTGGCAGGAATTCCACAGAAGTGATATTTTGTCCTTCTCAGTGTATTATATCAGAGGGTACATGATGTCAATATGTCTCATTGCTGTTGATTTAACTTTTGGTCACTTAGATAAGATGGTGTCTACCGGGTTTCTCCATTGCAGTTACTGTTTGTCCCATTGGAATTGATGCGTATCTTGGCAAGCAATGCTTTAAGACTATGCATATATCCAGTTTTTCGCCATACTTTCTCCCATTAATTTTAGATTCCATTGATGATTCTTACCTGTAACGATTACTACTTGGTTGTTTGCTAAATGTTGATATATTTATTCCTATCATTCCTTCTATATTATTAGAATTTTACTTTAAAGGAAGAGCTGTTCTTTTCCATTGTTCAGTCATTTTATCAATATAGATTCATGAATATTTATTCTGTGGATTATAATTCATTACTCTAATTGTTTACTTTGTTGCTCATGACCAAGAGATTTGGCCATCAGGGAGCCTTCAGCAGTTTGGCTCCTGAGGTTTTTTTTTTTTTTTTTTTTTAAGATAGGGTCTCACCTATTGCCACGCTAAATGCTGACTCCTGGGCTCAAGTGATCCTCCTACCTCAGACTCTGAATAACTGGACTACGGGGCATGCCCACACACCCAGCTTCTCTGTGTCTTTTTTGTTGTTTGTTTGTGAAAGGGCCTGCTTTATTGGGAAGCACAGTGCTACACAGTGACCAGCAGACGAAGGCTGCCCAAGGGACAGCTTTTACACATCATACTCCAAGACACACAGGATGTTTGCTAGTAACAATCAGCTGGAACATGGATCCCTCTGGGCAATTTCCCCAACCTCATCCCTCCAGGTCAGGAAAATCCATTTTCCTGATGCCGCAACTGGTTCACTAGAGATAGAGCCCCTCGGGTGCCTTCTTGTTTTTTATACAGAACATTTCTTTAGACTTTTGAAGCTTCATTTGTTACTTTCATTCTAGTTCTCTTAAGGCCATCAGACCAGCTTCTGTACAGATTCCTTAATGTCAGCACCAGAAAGATCATCTATAGCCATGATCAAGTCATCCAGAGTTACATCATCAGCCAGCGTCTTCCTGCTTGTGTGAATCTGAAAGATGCGCTTCTTAGTCTTTTCATCGGGCAGGGGGAATTCGATCTTTCTTTCGATGCGGCCTGGTCTGATAAGTGCTGGATCCAAAGTTTCTATTCGGTTTGTGGCCATAATAACTTACACATCTCCTCTCGAATCAAATCCATCCAACTGGTTCAACAGTTCCAACATTGTTCGCTGAATTTCTCTCTCACCGCCAGATTTGAGTCTATCTTTTTGTCCAACTGGCATCAAATTTCATCAATAAATACGATGGAAAGGTGCATGTTCTTCGCGCCCTCGAAACAATTGCCGTACGAGTTTGGGCCCATCACCTAGGTACTTCTGAATGAGTTCAGAGCCAACCACTCTCAAGAAAGTGGCGAGATCCTGGTTTGCTACTGCTTTGGCTAACAAGGTTACTGTGCCAGGTGGACCAATAGAGAATGACCGCTTACGGGGCTTATACCCATCTCTTCATAATATTCAGGATGGTGAGAGGCACTCCAGAGATTCCTTAATTCCTGGATTTGGTTGTCCAATCCCCAATATCAGCATAGGTCTCCTGGGGGCCTTTTCTACCGTACCTCTCATCACGTGACCAGGGGATCTGTGTCATCGCATCAGCGCACCCTATGCTACTGCCTGTGTTGAGCAGGACCGAGGCGCTGATTCCAGCAGAGCCTTATCTACAAATAAAGAATGCTGACAAGTGTTCTGAGCCCACCAGATGTAGATACGATGGCATGATCTGTCATCGATTATCTCTTCAAGGTTCCTACTGACATTGGGGTCCCCTCAGATCATCCACTTTTGATCTTTCCTCTTTTGCTTTCTTCCTAATGGTTTCATTTGTCCTGATTTCTAATGAATTCTTCTCCCATGAGAAGATAGTCTTTAATTCTCTCCAACTTTAATAATTTAACCGGACTGAGTGTGAGGTGTCACCAGTGGCAGTTTACTGGCAGCATCTGGTCCTTTTGTTTCTCTTCTTTTCCCACTCTAGTTGGTACAGGAGGTTCATATTTGCTTTTCTTGTCCTTGTCATCCTTCTTGCCACCTCCAGGACCATGGCCACCACTCTGACTTTGACCCATCTTGCCTCGGTTGCTCGAGCTGCCCTTCCTGTGTCTTTTTGATATACCCCCATCATTTTTTAATCATTTTGATACCACAAGATGTGCCAAGCTCATTTTGCTCCAGCCCCTAGAGTCAGTCATTTTTCCAAAGAGCCCTAGTAATTTTTATTGAAGATTAATATTTAAAAACAACATGTGGATGCAAGGTATGCTCATTGCAACTGGTATGTCATTGTTTCTAGGCCCTCTCAGCTGACAGGGCTGGGAAATGTGTGTGTGTGTAGATATATGTACATACACATATATCTATATATAAACACATATAATATGTATATATATATAACATATACACATACATGAATATATCTCTTTCTCCTCTCTCTATGAATATTTATCTACCTATTAAAAACAGTACGTTTATCCTGATACTTCCAATTACAACTCAATACCACTGGTTTCCTTCTAAATTTCTCCTTTCCTTATTTGTGACTTTTTCCAACAGCAAGAATCCTGGCTTTCATTATCCACTATCTATTCACTAATTTGCTCAACCCTAGTATATGTGTAAAGAAGTTTCAGAATTTTGATCCCACAATCCCTGTGAGAAACAAATGTACCATAGTGTTTGGGTACCATCCCTTTTGTCTTTAGCCTTCCAGCATGTCGTAAAAATACTATTTTCCAAAATTACTCAGATCTTTTCTTCCTACCCCTTTCAGTGTGGTATGTTGTTCATTTATAATACAGCCAGGTTCGTTTGTTACTGTTTTTGTTCTATATGGGGTTTGCCCAACATGCAGAGGTTTGATTTTAATTATTACTTATCTGGGGGGTACGTGAAACATGACTATAGTTTAAGAGTCAGAACTGTATGAAGAGGCATACTCAGAAGAGGGTTCCTTTGCCTCATCCTCTCCATCTCATTTCATTCCCCCATTCTTCCCACCCCATTCCCACTCGCCCCAAGAGGTGATCAGTTTCATTAGTTTCTGATTTATTTTCTTGTATTTCTTTCCACATGAATAGACACCTATATGTTTTATTATAAGAGCTGGCATTTCAATGTCCTTTTGTAGTATTGGATAATTTAAATGCTGTTTGGTCATTTCACCAATCTTAAGGGTATTGTTCATAATCGGTCTGTCCTTATTACTAATGTATTAAAAAACTAAACAATTTTTTAAATAAAATATTTATGGGATTTTTTTCTAGCATGATGATGACAACATGAATTTTGATGGCTCATTAGCACTGAATTGTCTATTTTTTGATAGGATTTGTCTAAAAAATGATAATATAGCCAGACAGGGTCTAGCACTGTAGGAGGCTGAGGCTAGAGGGTCTCTTGAGGCCAGGAGTTCAAGACCAGCCTGAGCAAGAACGAGATGCTGTTTCTACAAAAAATAGAAAAATTAGCTGGGTGGGGTGGCACATGCCTGTAATCCTTACTACTCAGAAGGCTGAGGTAGGAGGATCCCTTGAGCCCAGGAGTTTCAGGTTGCAGTGAGCTATGATGATGTCACTGCACTCTAGCCCCGGTGACAGACTGAGACCCTGTCTCAAAAATAAATAAATAAATAATAAAAAATGATAACATCAAGCAGCAATGTTTTTCAAGCTTTAACTCATTATATCTTTTTTAAAAATTTTAAAATTATTATGGGTAAATAATAGAAAACATAATAGAAAAAATTTAAATATCTTACAAAAAACATATATGTTTTTTGTAAGATATTTAAATTTTTTCTTTTTCCTTATTAGTTGAATTTGAATTATTTCAGCATCAATGAAAGCTGCTAGACTGCCATAAAGTATGTGTATGTTTGCTCTGAAGATCTTGCAGGGTAGCTTTTCTTACACAGAAGGCAAAACGAAACATTTTCCCAAGTCCACTTAGTCGTGCTGTGGGGCATTTCATTGTGCACTCTTTTTCTTTCCAAATACTCTGCAGGCGTTCGGGCAGTCCTTCTCCATCCACCGGAAAGTTGCTGAGGATGGGGAGACTCGAGAGGAGACACTTCTGCAGGAGTCAGCGTCGAAGGAAGCTTACTATCTGGGCAAGATCTTGGAGATGCAGAATGAGCTGAAACAGAGCCGGGCTGTGGTCACTAACGTCCAGGCAGAAAACGAGAGGCTCACCGCTGTCGTGCAGGATCTGAAGGAGGTAAACAGACAAAATTCCCTCCGAGAGATTTGTGGGAGAGAGAAATAAGATAAAGTTCTCTCTGTAGGAGAGAGCAAGAACACTTTTGTTTTAATCAGAGGAGCTGTATTAAGCAGGAAGCATATAATACTGATGCTAGCAATTTTTCTGCCTTTTCTTAGTGAAACGTCAGCCCATTCTGAGATAAGCTTTTCTCCCTTTTAATATTTTTTAAGAATTAAAGTTTTTATGTATTGAGTACTTGAGAATTGGCCTTGCTGTTTCTGCAAAGGTGTTTAAAAAATATAGCAACCTTCGCACTTCCTCTTCCCATTACGTATTTTTAATACAACGTGGAGAAGAATGGTTGGTCCTAGTGCTTTATATCAGCACTAATTCAAAATGACAGTAGTGTTAGCTCAGGACTCTTCTCACTGGCGAATGAGACCCAGGGGAGTGTTCTGAGGGGTCTTAGAGTCTGGCAATGCAGATCCCTAAACTCTGTTTCTAGTTAATGGGAAGGCAGCAAATTCTAGCTGGTGTGAATCAGGTCAGCCTGTGAGTGTCCACCGAACTCACTGTTTCTCATCAGTTTTTCCAGGGCAGCATCTCCTGCCATGTGATTTCCAGACTGGCAGAAGTCATTCTTTAGTGAAGATGTGATGTTGGAAACAGAGACAGCCCAAAAGCAGCTTCATCCACCAAACCCCTTTGAGAGCATTTCTAGAAACTTTTGTATTAAATCACTCAGTCCACATTTTTTTTTTGAAATTTGAACAAGACTGCTTTATTGTATAATTTAAGACACAAATAAATTACATGAATTGCAAATGAAGGCTTAAAATATTTAGCAGCTACAAAAATCAGATAACTCATGCTATGTGTCACTCCTCCCATAAATACTTTTAGCCTATGTTCAATTACAGTCAATTAGAAATTGGCTCACCTCTGAATTAGACTCCTAAAGTCTTTGCACAGAGTAAAAGAAATGGATAAAAATGAAAGATTGTATTCTATCCTGTACTTTGACCCTGGAAAGATGTGGGTCTGCTTAAAACAAATACACATAATCACAATAAAGCTTAACACTATGCAGAGTTTAAAATCATTTCCAGCAACAGTCAGTCCACATTTTTATATGAAAGCTGTAGAAGAGGTGCAGACGTCCTCTAACTCCTACACCAGCACAGCGGTGATTGACCGACAGATGCCAAGTGGGTTTATTAAATGAGCTTTTCAGTAATAGAAAAATATAGAATGAAAAATGTGTTCAATATTGTGAAATAGAAGAAATAATCCACTAATATCTTTCTCTTCAAATAATTAATGACATATTACAAATAGAGTTTCATTATTATGAGATACAAGTTGTCCAAAATTTATTGAAATTTAATAAATAATTTACATTTACATATGTCCATATTATAATGAACTAAATGAATATTGACAGTAAGGTTTCTGCTTTGCTTATCTCACTATCTTTGGACATGCCCAAATACAGCAATAGACTTCTGGAGGCAGAGAAAGGTGACACCCAAGTGTGAGTTAGAGTTGGATACTAAGGAGAATGTGAGATGGGTTTTCAGGATACCAAGGTATCCTCATTCCTCTCCAGTGTGAACAATGTTAAAATTGTTAAAAACAAAGCTGCTCTCCAGTTTTATTTGATACATCTTTATGTGCTGGTTCTTTGCCATCACTTGCTTACCCTTTGGGGTACTAGTTCCTCCTTCTCTTAAGCACTTGCCATTCACCCTCCCAAGTCCAGGCTTCCCTGTGTGACCAGCATCCACTGTAGAAGCAGACTGAAGGTCATTTCGTGCCATAGCCCACCATTCTGGATTAAGCAAGGTACTGACTGTCTGCAGGGGGCAACCTCAGTCGCCACAAACAACAGGATTATTTGCAAGTTGGCAGACAGGGCGTGATACAGGCAACACGAGTGCAGTGTGCACGTGCAGGCAATTTATGGAGGAGAACTGGGAAAATGAGTCAAGCAGTCTTGATGGCCAGTTAGATGGAGCATCTAAAAGCTGCACATCCACACCGAGCATGACAGCTACAGCTGAGGACAGAGCAGCAGAGGTTGAGGAGAAGGCAAGGAATCCGCAGGTGTTTTCCCGTGTGAGTCCAGGCAGTGGTGATGGACGGGGCATCCTCTCATGGCTGTGCCCAAGGGCCTCTCCCATGAGTAGAGTGATGCTAAGCAGCAGAAGTTAATTAAGAATCAGGATGTAGGTTAGAAATGAACCGAGGCAGCAAAGGAAAAAGTTTTGAGCTGATTCAGATCAGTTCTCAAACTTTAGGAAGCATCAGAATCATAAAACTCATCAAAGCACGAACCCTGGGCCCATCCCCAGAGAGTCTGATTCAGTAGGTCTGGGTTGGACCCCAGAATTAGCATTTCTGACAAGTTCCCAGCTGCTGCTCTGGAAACCACATTTTAAAAACCACTGATTTAGATATTTTGGCCTGCCTGGGGATGAAGAAAGTGGGATCGTGAGGCTCATGATTTGGGGAATTGCTATAAGTACCATATCTCCTGAATAAATCATTTGGTTATAATCCTTCAGTTTCAGTGCATTTTCAGTAGTTGATTTGCACTAAGAGAATAACTTGTTACATCCAGATTTATGTATTTTTGATGTACGATAGCTCAAGGCAATTTAGCTTATGAATATATTTATTCAGATTTGTCTGTCAGGTAACTAAAAGAAAAAAAGATTGTGTGTTTCTTTGTCTTCTCTGTGTGCCAGCCATGTATTGTTATTGTTCTTTCTGATGGAGTGAAAGCTAGTGGTGTTACTATACCCCTGAGGCTGGCTGTTTTCTATCCAGGCTTTGTGTTTTGCTCTAAGAGAATTATTATTAGCATTTAGAGCTTAATACATGTTGTAAAAGGAGAATATGAATAAATTATATTTTTGTTATAGTGACACAGACTTTTGATGGCTGATATTAAATTGAAATCTCAGATTTGTTTTTATTATAGGCTCAATTGCATTTTATTTTATTGTACTTTGCATTGACCAATGCATAGAGAACCATGTAACATAGAAAAATCATACTGTGATTGAGAAATAGACAAAGATACATGAGAAATAGACAAAGATAACTAACCTAAAAATTTAGAAAATCGTGAGTTTGAAATATGCTGTGTGAATTTAATAATTTAATTAATGGAATCCTTTTTACTTACTGGAAGGACTCATCTCTTGTTTCAGTAGGATTGTTGGTACTGGGAAAAGTGTATGTGTGTATATGTTTTGTGTGTAATATGGAAGCTTTACCCATGTATGTGCATGTGTGTGTGTAATTCCAAGGTCAAATTATCTTCCATATTTGGTAGTTATAGGATAGCATAATAGAAAATGAAAAAATTGCTGACTTAGGTATTAGCAAATCAGTATTCTAGTCTCAGCTCTGCTAAAGGTTTTAGTACGAAATTCCTACTAAAATATTTGTAAGATTCATTTTAAGATTATATTGGTAGAGAGTAAATACATAATAAACATAAGCTATTACCATTAATAATTATCTGCATCCTCCATAAAAATATTCTTGAAAATATTGCTCATTATTTAGATCTATATTCTTAGGTTAAGATAATAGTTGATAAATATCTCTTTGAATTCATTACCTTTAAGATTCTTTCTATTATGATACAAATCAGGCAGTAAGAATTACAGTATGTTTTATTGCTGCTTTGATTATTAAGAAGCTCCAGGGTTATATTTCATGGTAAAAAACTTAACTAGATTTTTTAATCTAATTCTTCTTACTTTTAAACATTTTTGTTAGCCTTATTGTATTTGTGTCTTTCTTTAAGGTAAACTGCTTTAAATAATTTTTTAAGGTACAGGGAAATCAAAGAACCTCTGAGTTCTCTTGATCCTGAATTATTTTGGTGACAGATAAGGAAAATAGATTACAGTAGTGCCTAAGTAGATATTTAGTAAACAAGATTGAATTTCATCTTTCTATCCTCAACCTTTATGTGTAACATACTAGAAGATAGTCTACATAGGTTTAAATGGAAAATATTTATTGAACACTTACTTTGTGCTAAATTAAACTAAAATCCACATTGATGAAACCATAAAATAGGATAATGAAACTTAATAACTCTTAATGTTCTCAATTGTTAGTCAATGTCTCAAATGTAAGATATGCCAGAATTTATTATAATATTTACAAAGCATATGAAACAATTATACAGTTTTGTTTTTGTTTTTGAGACAGAGCCTTGCTCTGTTGCTCTGGCTAGAGTACAATGACATCATCATAGCTCACTGCAACCTCAAATTCCTGGGCTCAAGCGATCCCCCTGCCTCAGCTTCCCAAGTATCTGGGACTACAGGCGTGCACCACCAGGCCTGGCTGATTTTTCTAGGTTTTTTTGGGGTTTTTTGTAGAGAGGATCTCGTTCTTCCTCAAGCTGGTCTCAGACTCCTGAGCTCAAGGGATGTTCTGCCTCAGCCTCCCAGAGTGCTAGGGTTACTGGCATGAGCCATTGCACCTGGCCAATTATACAGTATTTCTAACCAAAATGGATATATATGTAATAAAGAGATGTCACATAAGATAGGCCTTTCAGGTGGAATGCAGAAGACTGGAGTTAGAAAATGAATTATTAACCTTACCCCATCTCTACTATAAATAGAAAAATTAATTAGACAACTAAAAATATATAGAAAAAATTAGCCTGGCGTGGTGGCGCATGCCTGTAGTCCCAGCTACTTGGGAGGCTGAGGCAGGAGGATCGCTTAAGCCCAGGAGTTTGAGGTTGCTGTGAGCTAGGCTGACGCCATGGCACTCTAGCCCGGGCAGTAGAGTGAGACTCTGTCTCAAAAAAAATAAAAAAATGAATTATTAACCTTAATGGAGATTAAGCCTATACTTTAAAGTGCAAATACCTTAACATTTATTGAGTGCCAGACACTGTCCTAAATATTTTACGCACATTAACTTGCTGAATGTTTATGACAACACTATGGAGGTAGGTCCTATTATTATGTCAT